AAGGGAAGGGAAGGAAAGGAAAGGAAAGGAAAGGAAAGGAAAGGAAAGGAAAGGAAAGGAAAGGAAAGGAAAGGAAAGGAAAGGAAAGGAAAGAGGCAAGGCACAAGTCCAGACACCAAAGTCCATGGTCTGAACCACCAAACACACTGCCCTTGTGGCTGCGTTTAGAACACTGGCTCTCAGCACAAAGAACCCTAACGTCACCTGCAGGTCGCACAGCAACGAGAGCTAGTGCTGCTTGGTCACCCTTGAGTAACGCACACTGCTCTTGGCTCTTCATTGGTCATCAAAACAGTTTCAGGAGAGAAGTGTTCACCCCCACTTCTCAGGTGCGGAAACTGAAGCTTGGAGGGTATAAAAGCGGAAAGTCCTGCTGCAGGTGGAGGCAGCACCTGGCCCGCCCTGCTCCCTGCTCTCTGAACCCTCTCGTGAGCACACTGCTAGCGAGAGTCCCTGGGGGCACCCTGCCACAGTCCCTGGAAATGCAGCAGCACCTCGCCCTTGCGGCCTGCTCTCTCTCTCCTGAGCATGGCCTGGACACTCCTCACAGCCCGTAGGGCAGATGCTGTTACCCCACCACCTTCCTGCTGCTCACAGAACAGGCTCCAAGCTAACAGATCTTGCCCAGAATAGCAGAGCTCGTAAGTCATGGCGTTGAGATGTAGTCAGGTCTTCCGGGCCTTGCTGCTTTGTTCTTTTTGCTATACCCTGATGATCTCTGATAAGTTCATTTAATGCAGTAACCCAGTTTTGAAGATGTACAAGTCTTCCAGCCCCGAGAAAAACGTGCTTGTCCTTGAGGAAGTCCTCTATGCCCAAAGCACAGCCCTCGCAGGCTCCCTCTTCTAGTGGACGCCGCCACCCTGGGAATGCCCGAGGGGCAGCAACCGCCTGCTTCTTGCTTTCTCACACCTCACACGGGAAGAAGACAGGGAGATGATTCGCGGCCCCTCTGGTTGATGTCGCCCGCCCCATCCAAGGAGCAGGTCTTGTGCACAGGAAGCCGGACTCGGGTTCCTTCCCGCCTATGCAGCCCCCGGCATTTTGCTCCAACACAGCAGTTTGAAGACTACGTGAGTGGAGCACGCTGCATCTCACCTTCGCGGATGGTCTGTGTAATCAGTGCCCTTCAAGCTTGGGCACCGCTTGCTGTTGTTTCTCCAGGAGGCCAGACTGGTGGTTTTTGTTTTGTTTTGTTTTTTTTAATATTTATTTATTTATTTATTTATTTATTTATTTTTGTGTGTGTGGCCAGCTCAGCCCGGTGGGCAGGGCTGGCTGGCATGTGGTGCTGGGGGATTGAACCGCAGTCCCTGTGTTTTGCTTAGTTTAGCTTGTTCTAAGTAGGTGCTTTAGACCACTGAGCCATCTCACCAGCCTCCAGACTGGTGTTTGTTGGGTGTGGCAAGGACTTCGTTTGCCGGTCCAGCTGCCCTTCTAGGCTCAGCAGGATCTTGCAAACCAAACCCGCATAAGTGTCGCAAGGAACCAAGTCCAGCAAGGGACAAGGATATGCTGAACGCAAAGTAGAACAGCGTGTGCGCTCTTTTCACTGTCACATCGCAGAAACAGATGAGAGCTCGTTCCATTTGGCCTTTATCTAAGGACATTTCCACGCTCTGAGCCTGTGTTAGGGTTTAACAGTTGCTAATGTTATCTGCATCTTGTCTTTGATGTAGTTTTAGATATGTGGTTTTATCTCCTCTTTCTAATGTTCTATAATCTGGCTACAATAATACAAAATAATTAGCTTATGCTTATTACAGTAACTAGTGAATGTCGAGTGGCCAGTATGGACAACACCGCGAGCTGTCGCCATGTGGAACCTACCTCACAGGACCTTTGTGAGCACTATTGTTGTTGGTCTCATTGTACAGAAAAAAAACCAAAATACAAACAGTCGAGTAATTTACCCAGAGTTGTGTTGTTACAACTGAAAACTAAGCTTGTCAGATTTTAAAATCTATCCTTAGAACAGCTTGCTCTCTACCATATGATAACAAAAATAATGAGTAAGATTAGTAAATACTCTGCTGCCTTTTGCTACTGCTTAGAATTGTAACAAAAATCTAGTGGAAAT